ATATATATATATAAAAGTAATAAAAAATTCTTTTGCTTTTTTTCTAGAGCTTTTATACACATGTATTCAACGGCTGTTACGCAGTGCTTCTGTTCATTGTAGTGATCTTTTTCTTGATATATGGAGTGGAAGTGTTTTTCAAAGTATGCTACTTTTAAATTACAGTACTCTTATTATAGCACATTTGCATTGTAGAATTATCTCATGATATTTTTTTATTAGGTTCGTGGTGGATTCTTGAATGAATGTCAAGTTGCTTCTATCGCAACAAATAAACGTGTAGCTGATACAACAAAGGTCCACACTGAAGATCAAGTAACAGCAAAATTATTTGATCCAGGTCCATCTACATCCACAGCAGAGCCTGTGCATACGCAACAAGTGAATACATCTCAATTACATCAATCAAGATTTGGATTACTCTCTCAAGCATTTATGCTATTTATAGTAGTTGGTTTTCTGTTCAGTGAAACTCTCAGTGAGTTTTGGAAAACAAAGTAAGGAAATAAAAGAACAAATATAAGTTGCATAGCGAACTATAATATTTACAATTTTTGAATTTGAATTTGTTCTAAATATTCTTATTCTAGGGTACCGTTGTACAGCAGGAATTGGCATGATATTGTATTTCGTGTTATTGAAGTTGGTGTAGCACTATGGTTCCCTTGTGTTTTATGGAATTGTATGAGGTATGTATTTATACGTTTCATTTATTTTATTTTACATGAAAACACATTATCCTATAAATTATTTATTTTATAATATATTTTTCTACCATTTATTCTCGTTTCAGTCCAGAGCAATTGTGGATTCTAAATCCAAAGCGCATATTAAAGAAACTAGATTTGGACCAAGGAAAATATATAAAAGAAATCGAATTACAAGAAAAAGGCGCATCTCAAGACACCGCGTTTCTTTCTGCAGATGCAGCATCAATTAATAGCAAAGATTGTTGGATTTGTTACGATAATGAGAGACAGGATGCTGGTCCATTAATACAACCATGCCAATGTAGAGGTGACGTAAGTGCTGTACATCATGATTGTTTGCGTCGTTGGCTCGTTGAGGTAAAACAGTTATAATTTCTCATCTATTGTTTTCAGTACAACGAACTTTGTTTGTTATGATTCTTTCTTCTTTCAGAGCTCTGTAAATGCGGACAGTCTCATTTGTAAAGTTTGTAATACGAAATATAACGTTGAACATGCCAGTCGGTTAGACTGGCAAAACAGTTTAACTCCACGCCATTGTCTGCAAACTATTGCCATTGTTACTACGATGTGTGCATCTTCTGCCGCTGCCTGGATAGTTATCCAACTTGTAGAAGGACCCATCATCAGAATGCTTGCAGCCGGAAGTGCACTGTTAATTATATACGTCTGCATAAGGTGAGTAAATGTTGATTTTTGTGAAAGTTAAATATTAATACATTCAATCTATAACAATTGAAATTGTTTATTCTAGATTCTTGAGCGTGAATACCGTCGTAGCGTATCAACGAGCCAAAATCTCATCGTTAAATATTGTTAACAGTGGTAGTGAAAGTAATGTAACTACAATTAGTCATACGATTTCGGTGGACGTAACGAAATCGGATATGGCTACGATATAATCTGTACTTGCCATCAGTCATTGTATAATGCTGAGTTCACACGCCATGCTATGTACGCTATATATGGTATGTATATTACATATGCTATGTTCGCTACGCTGAGTGGCCATATCGAAAATTATGTTTTGGATGAATATTTTTATTGATAAATGTTTAGTCAGAAAAATTGAAATTCAATAAATAGGTCAAAGTTGAGCTTATAAAAGATATATAAATATATTCTAATAAATTTGAAAGTTATCTATATAATAATCGGTACAAGTTTCAACTTTACTCTTCAATCTTCATCAGTCGCATTAA